ATGTGCAACAATGAATGAATGAAAATCCAAAGTCTCTGTAGATTTTTACTGAAATTAATAATAAATTTAATTTTAAAAATTTTAAGTTAGAGTAAAAAATGTTTCTGATTTTTATCTGCTGATATTTAGTTTAGGATTTTGCTTTTGTGCTGATAGATTCAATTGGCTTCAAGTTTTCCTCTCTCGTCTTATACTTTTCTGACTTTGGCAACAGGTTTATACATCTCCTCATTTTAAAAATAACCCAAGGAGCATTTCTTCACCTTTTTATTCTCAGAGACTCTTGTATAAGGTACATTTTTTTTTAACTCTCTCTTGAGTTTTTTATAAAATCATTGACTTTTTTGGTAAGCGTTTACCACCATATTGTTAACCTCTGCAAAATACATTTTGTGTGTATGTGTGTGCGCGCGCAGTCTTCTGAAATCCATTCTTACCCCAACTCCTGCCTCAGCACAAGTCAAGAAAATGCAGCTTTGTCCTGATCACCTAAAATTGAAATATTCACTGTGTTGTTTTTTTTTTTCACAGGCAGATCTGTCACTCAAAATTCCAGCATGAAGAATTGTCTCCAGGTTTGCCTTGAGTCTCATCAGGAAACAACAGGTAAGTACTTGTCCTAACTGGTTAGCAGTTTTTCATAAGTACCCAGAACAAATGAAATCATTCACTCGCCCCTGAAAGCTACCTTGATCATGAGCAAATGACAGGACCCCTCCAGGGTCAAGTGGTGGGTTTAGCTGACCTGGGACCCCAGGCTGTCCACCAAGGCTCTTTTAAGAACATAACAGAAGTCATGTGGCCCAAATACTCTGAACACAAAATTAGTTTCTTTCCATACTGTGAAAGGAATGGAACAGCATACTAAATATAATGCTGGTGCCCTCCAGGGTCAACAAGCCAGAAACCAAATAAACAGCCAGCGAGCTGCACTTTGGGAGCATGTCCCACAAACCCCTGGGAGCCCCTCAAATTCCTGGTCTCTAGAGGGTGCCTCACTCTGGTGACCAATTTAAGCCACTGTTGGACATATAATCTTGCCATTAACCCAGAAACAGCAACAACAAAATTATCTCACTTTTTTCTTTTGCACATTTTTAGATTTTCCCAGTTCTTATTTTCCCAAAGGTGAAAAAAAATCACCCTTAATCCTACCATGTGAAGAAGGGAAGTATAAACATCATGGTAGATATAATTTGACTGTTTTGAAATTCAACATAGCACATTAAACCTGTGTTTCTCAGTCTGTTTTTCACCTTATTCTCTCCTACCTGATGAAGTCTTTCTTTTAGAAATTCTTTTATTATTTTTATTTATTTATCTATCTATTTATTTTTGTTTTTTGACTGAAACCTTACAAACTGGTTTTTCATTCAACTATTCTTGCACACTTTGTTTTAGAACGTTAATTACATACCCACAATGTTAGTGCATCTTTCCTGCAGTTCTCATTTCTTTTAATCCTTCTATTTTACCCCTTCCCTATCTTCAGGGCTTTATCCTTGGGCAAACACTGCTCTTTTGACCTGAGATGGGCAGGTATTCTAAATTTTAGAAATTCTTTTTGGAGTTCTCTCCAACCCATCAAATTGTAATGCCACAGATAAAGTGTGTGTCTGTTTCTATACGGTAGCATTTGCAAGACCACAAAGCACTGTAATACCAAAGATTTGTTCTTACACACACCAAGAACAAACCTTTGTCCACTTGGAGGCAAGAAAAATCTCCTAGGTAGTGCACTTTGCACTTATTTAGTCTTCAAAGAGTTTACAGTTCAAATCTATCCAGTGGCACCAAAGAAGATGAGGCCCCGGCGATTTACTTCCATTAAGATTAAACCAGATTTAATCCACTGCTGTCGAGCTGATTCATGGTCACCCTCCAGTGAGTTCTCTTGCAGAGCACTGGTGGATTCTAACTTCTGACCTTTCAGTTACCAGCACAGTACATAACATACTATGCCACCTGAACTCCTTTCCATAAAAATTACAGCCTGGACAGCTGTGTGGAGCAATTCTGCTCTGTAGTCTGTGAGGTGGCCATCAGTCTGGACTGACTCAACAGCAGAGTTGTTGTTGTTGTTGTTGTTGTTGTTGTTGTTGTTGTTAAGTGCCACCAAGTTGACTAATGGCACCCTCATGAATAACAGATCTGAGCCTCGTCCTATCCTGGGCCGTCTACATGATGTCTGATCTATTCGAGCCCATTGTTATAGTGACTGTGTCAATCCACCTTGTTGAGATTCTTCCTCTCTTTTTCTGATCCTTACTTTTCCCAGCAGGATGTCTTTTTCCAAGGACTGGTCCCTCCTGACAATATGCCCAACGTTTATGAGATGAAGTTTCACTGTCCTCACCTCTAAGGAGCACTTTCACTGCACTTCCTCTAAGAGTTTGTTTGTGGCCGTGTGTGTGTGTGTGTGTGTGTGTGTGTGTATTGACAGTCTGTGAAATATTCAGTACTCTTCCTCAACACCACAGCTAAGAGGCATTGATTCTTCTTCTGCCATCCTTATTGTCTAACTTTCAGATACACAGGAAATAATGGAAAAGACCATGGCTTGTAAAAGGCACACCGTAGTCTTTAAGCTGACCTCCTTACTCTTTAGCATCGAGGTTACTAGAATCCATGTCAAGAACAGGACTCTCCAATGATGCCTGATCTGTCCCCCAGTGAAGGCAAAGCTTGACTTGACAGTTAACATAGGCCGTAGAAATGGAAGTTAAAGTGTCCCCAGTGACTAGATCTAATCCATGCACTGTCACAGCCCCACCCCCCACCCCAGATCCAAGACCTACCTGTCCAAAGTCCTCAGGAGGGTCTCAGCCAGTGGGTTTCTCATCTCCTTCTTCCAGAACTATACCACTCATCACTGACCCCTCAAAGTCTGACCTTGTCTCAGATGCATTTGGAGAGTTAATGCTTTTTCAGAGCTGCCAGACCCATCACTCCTCTTTACTGGCTGCAAGCAATGTTCTCAGAAACAGATATGCTTGTGTGTTTGTGCGGTAGACTATTCCAGGCTGGTCCTAGTCCAGCTATCAGCAGTTAGATTGCCATTCAGTGCCCCGTAAATGCACATGCACACATGAGCTCATAGATGCACGTGCTTGTGTATATACCACACACAGATGTGCACACATACCCATGCATGCTCATATGCACAAGCACACACGTGCTCATAGATGTGTGTGCGTACATTGCATGCACATGCTCACACTATACACAGGCACACGTGTGCTCACAGATGTGTGCACACACATATGCATACTCACGTACATATCTATGGATACACCACACATGTTCATGTGCATACACACGTGTGCACACATAGTGGGCACGTGCATTTTTCAGTGCAGCCCTACTGTGTGAGGGCACATCTCTCTGCCTCTCGGACTGGGCTAAGACCTGCTACCTAGCTATTCTCTCCTCTGGTAGCTTCTTCTCACTTGGTTATTCCTTACAGTCAGGTCCTCTGGTAACTGGAGGTCCCCCCACCCCCGCCCCTTCCTCACTTTGCTCAAAGGACTTGTCCAGTGTCTGGAGCCATGCTTAGCAGGTAGCAGGTGCCCCAGCAAGATTTGCTGGGTTAAAATAAATAAATAAAAAAGGAACAGCTGTTAAATGATGTTGCTCCAAATATTTTTACAGTGTCTTTTAACAAAGTGGCTGGATGAAGGCAGTTGTTTGATGAGAAAATACGTCCACAGCATCGCGTTTCAAGCAGGCTGCTTAGCTATCCTTCTGGAAAGACTGGAAGGAATGCAGAACTGAAAACAGGACCATGTCCACCTACACGGCTGTAAAGTTATTCTCTTTTCCAAAGGCTGCCGCCTCAGCAATGACTGGTTGAGGAGTGGTCAGCAAGAGTCAGCCCATTCATTCCCCTTCCCCTCCTTGGGACCCTGAGAGTACTAACCCAAACCTTTGAGACTGTTTGCTTCTCTGGTCCACACTCCAGCCGCTTCCCAGGAAAAGGGTTTGCCATCCAGCTAGGCACGCACAGATTTCGGAGGAGCAGCTGCGCACTTCTGCCCCTTTAAGAAAAGGAAGCCTCTATATGAATGAAGAGATACTTGACCCAGTGGGGTAGCTTCTGTTCCTCTCACATGAAAGTCAATATTGATTTGACAGTTTTGAACCCCTGCTATGTGCTAGGCACAGAGATTAGGAAGATTTGGTCATGCAAAGAAGTGGCAGTGCCGCCCTACCTCTTCCAGTAACATCTAGGAGCTGGGGTGTGGGGACGACTGCCAGTTTGCTAGCAGAAGATGCAAAGAGAGAAGAAGTGGGAGAGGCAGAGAGCCAGGTTGAAGTGACCTTATGCTTCATGCTAAACAGCATAGATTTTCTCCTGCAGGGAGCTACTGAGGGTGGTGCACAAACAGCAGGAGGGTGTTTGAACATGGGCTGGGTCCTGACAGATGCCTGCCACCCTGGTGGTTCCATTAGAACTCGTGATCACAGCTCCTTCACACCAGGAGTTTGTTCACTCTCCTCACTGGACCCAGTGAGAGCTGGGAGTCCAGTCCACTTCATTAAATTCCATACAGTGTTTGAATGGCCGGAGCGCTGACCTTTCTGGCCTCCTGCAGGGAACGATCTGGCTTTTCCTTTTTGGGTGGGGATGGGCAGGCCAGCCACCGTTTGCAGCTCTGAGAATGCGCAAGACATCTGGAATGCATCAGAGGGAGGCCCAGCCAGAGCGGTGGCTCAGCGCTGCCCTCAGCTCCTTCCAGAGGAGTGTGTCCGCTTGGAGTGACGCTTCTCTCTCCCTTTCTGCTCTCCTTCCAGACCTCCTGACTGTAGCTGTCTGCTCAGGATGCCTCACGTGTGCTTGGACCCATCCCTCAAGAGTTTGACTGATGTTTTTCTAGTGCGGCGCCCGCAGTTTTAGTGAGTGCATTTAAGGCGGTTTTGTTGGGGCCGCTGTTTGGATCTAGTTTTGTTTTTGTTTTTCTTTCTTTCTTTTCACTGGGCCTTGATCAGCTCCTGCGGGCATGATGGCCCAGTCCAAGGCCAACGGGTCGCACTATGCACTGACCGCCATTGGCCTGGGCATGCTGGTCCTGGGGGTCATCATGGCCATGTGGAACCTGGTGCCCGGGTTCAGCGGCTCAGACAAGCCAGGGGCCCAGGGGAACAAGACAGAGACGGGTGGTGGTCTTCTCAAGAGCAAGACCTTCTCCGTGGCCTACGTGCTGGTCGGGGCCGGCGTGATGCTGCTGCTGCTGTCCATCTGCCTGAGCATCCGGGACAAGAGGAAGCAGCGGCAGGGCGAGGAGATTGCACGGATCCAGCACCAGGCAGAGATGGAGCCTCACGCCCAAGAGGAAGACAGGTGAGGACCAGCCCCTCCTCAGAGCAAGGTGCTCACACACCCAGTCACCCATGCTCAGTGAAGAAAAGATTTTATCCTAAGAGGCTTTGCAGTCCCATTTTCCTCCGTTAAACCCAAGCCCGTTGCTGTTGAGCCATTTCTAACTTCTAGTGACCCTGTAAAGTGTGCTGGTGGCCTAGTGGTGAGAAGCTGCGCCATAGTCCTAAGGGCATGCATTTCAAGTCCACCAGTTGCTCTGTGACAGAAGGATGGGTAACCCCCTCCCGTGTGATATACAGCCTCTGAAAACCCACTGGAGGGTCAGGCATGAGTCGGTTCTGACTCAGAGCACACTCAACAAGAACTGTAGGGCAGTGGAGGGGCCGGGGAGTCACGGTGCATAATAGGTCAGCAGTTTAAATCCACTGGCCGCTCCACAAGAGAAACATAAGACAGTCTTCTCCCGTAAGATGTGCAGCTTTAGGATCCTGACGGAGGGTCGCTGAGGGTTGGAATTGACTCAGAAGCAGTGACTTTGGCTTGGAGCTCTGGCAGAGCCGTATAGAATGACTCCAGGGAGTTCCCAAGACTGTAATCTTCACAGATGCAGATTACCTTAACTTTCTTCCATGGCTGATGCTTTCAAACCACTGACTGTTTAGTTTAGCAGCGAAATGTTTAACCACTGTGCCACCAGGGCTCCTATTTTTCTTACATCACCTTCTATAAACTATTTTGTAATTTTACAAATAACTGTCGTGCTGGAGTAGAGCTGCTTCCCAGAGGATGTAGAGTGAATGGATTACTGCTGTGACAAGATTTGGACACGTGGAAGGAAGCAGATCATGGCCTGGGGAAAACAGAGCTCCAGACTTGTTTCTGTCCATTCATCACAAAGATTGGTAGAGGTGGAAGGGGAGAGGGAGAGAGAGAGAGATTTGTGCTTGGATTTGACGTTAACTGGATTAACTTCCTAGGGCTGTCATGACCACTAATAAAACAACAGCAATGTCTGCCATTATTTGGGAGGGCAGAAATTATAAAGCAAGGTGATTAGCAGGTCCAGCTCATCCAAAGCTCCAGGGGAGAATCTTTTCTCACCACTTCTAGCTTTTAATGGCTCCTGATGTTCCTTGGCTGGTGGAAGCAGGACTGTATCTCTGTCCTTTCGTGGCCTCTTGCCCTGCCTGGGTTTGACCTCTTCTGTCTCTTTGCTTCTGTTCTGGATTAAAATGTTGTCCTTCAGAAATTAGTTAGGAGCCCTAACCCCTATACCTGTGGTTGTAATCTCATTTGGAAATGGGATTTCTCTGTTATATTAAGAGGACATATCAGTGCAGGGGATGTTTTAAACCAGACACCTTTGAAAGATAAAAAGAAATTAGGCATGGAGAAGCCAGCAGAGATAGGGTAGCTAGATGCCAGAAAGATAACGATCACTTAGGAGCCGAAGAGCAAGGACCTTTCTCCAGACCCAGTGGGAAGAGAGCCTTCCTCTAGAGTTCTAGCTTCCAAAATTGTGACAAAATAATTTCTGTTTATTAAAGACACCCCCTTGTGGTATTTCTATGAAAACATATTGTAAGGACACTTGCCATTGGATTTAAGTACCCAGCCCCTTAATCTGGGGTGATCTCTCCTTGAGATCCTTCATTTTAATCACATTTGCAAAAACCCTTTTTCCAAATAAGGTCACACTCACAGGTACAAGTGGTTAAGACTTAGACATAGCTTTTGGGGGGCCATACTTTAAATCACTACAATCGGCAGGAAGTGTTATGTTTGTCCAGAAATGCCACAAACAGGTTTTTAAAAAATAAATGATCACTTAGAGAAAATGTGGTAGAGATTAATACTCTGTTATAAAAGCGCTCTTCCAAATGAATATGACAGATGGACACACCGTAGGGAATGGACAAAGGAAATGACCAAGCTTTTCACAGAGGTTCAGCCAGTAGATGTTCACACTGATTAGTCATTTTGTCTTTTGCTTATCAAAGTGGCCAAGATGTTAGAGAGTTGAGGGAAGATGGGCTGCTGATGGGAATATTGATATAATTTTCCTGAAGAAGTGTCACAGTGAGGGATGGTTTTAGAGATGTCTGTCCCTATCGTTCTGTCCTTAAGAATTTATTACACAATCACCCAAGAGTACAGAGGAGTTTATACCAGAACATTTATTAGAGCATTGTCTAAAATAACAAAAACTTAGAAACAACCTTAATACCCATTTTTTCTCTCTCATTTTTGTCGAGTCAGAACCAATTCGTAACTCACCCTTCAGTAGGTTTTCAGAGGCTATAAATCACACAAGAGGAGATTGTCTATCTTTTCTCCCACTATCATCCATTCGTCAAGTCAAATTATGATATAGCCAGTTGATGGAGTTCTAGCCATCAGATGCAGCACACAACCTAAGTCCCAGAGCAGAGGTTCCAGGCCCCAGCCAGCAGTCCCATCCCATCCCCCTGCGGGGTTTTAAAGCCAATGCCTTTGAGAAGATTTTCACCCTAGGCAAAGGCTCAAGGATTCCCACTCTTGAAGGGAAAAGAGCAGCAATACACATCAGACACAACCCCAAAAACCTTTCTTACATGCCCATCAGGACTGCCATCAGATGCAGCAAACAGCCAAAGTCCCAGAGTGGAGGTTCCAGGCCACAGCCAGCAATCCCATCACAATTTTGTCACAGGTGACTTATAGCGAGTCTATGAACGGAAGTCCTGGACACCTCCTGTATAACTTTCGTCCTTTCTCCAGGTTCATAGGGTTTCCAGAGGCAAACTATTGTGAAAGTGGATGCCACTCCTGCTTCCAAGCTTGTTTTAATCAGGGAGCTACACCAAACACTGTCCACCATGGGTAACCATTCTCGCATCTGACTCCTCAGTGTCACAGTGTTCGGCTTCACAGCAACCACGAGTTACCTCTGTACAGCAAGTAGACAGACATACCAGGTTACACGACCTGGAAGAATGTTTCATAATATATATGAGTACCAAGACCTGAACAAGTTGACATAAAGTCCCATCACTGCAAGGCCTTAACCTTCTTCATGAGATTTTTGTGTGCTATTTGCATTTTCTACAACCACTTTGTCTTAATTTTGCAGTGGGAGTGGAATTATTTTCATTTGGGAAAAATTAAGCAAATTTTCTGATCATAAAAGACAATGCTTAATTATTCAGAAGAGGGCAAAGGAGGAACATAATAGCCACCCAGAATTACTCAACCTAGTGATGAACCAAGCAGCATGAGGCCAGCTAGAGAAGTGAGGTTAGGATGGAAAGTTGGATGTCAGGGTTAGCAACCACCCACTCAAGTTAGAACCAACTCATAGCTGACCCTTCAGGCGACTTCTGAGTCCCTTTACACTTCGTATGTAAATCCATGGGGCTGCAGGTGGATTTGAACCATGAGAGAGGCACAACTTTTAGGTTAGTAACACACACAACTCTCTTAACCATAATCTGCAAAACCAAATGAGATTTCTGATGTTGACCATTGTCACTCACCAGGTTCAAATGTAGGGTCTTGTAAAATAGCTACTTTACTTCCTATTTAATATACAAAAGGCTTTGTTGGTTCAGTGGTTGAATTCTCCTCTGACATGAAAAAAACCCAGGTTCAATTCCGGGTCAGTGCATCTCAAGCACAGCCCATCCGTCAGTGGAGGCTGGCTATTAGGATGCTGAACAGGTTTCAGTGGAGCTTCCAGATATAAGATGGACTCGGAAGAAAGGCCTGGCCATCTACTTTTTTTTTTTTCCATCTACTTCTAACAGTCAACCAGTAAACACCATACGGTCACAGAATTTCTGATCCTATTGTGGATAGGGTCCCACTGAGAGCTAATTCAAGGGCAGTATTGTACTGAGGTAACCTTGGGTTGCTGTGATGCTGAACCTTGTGCCATTAGGGTGGCATATTCCATAATGGTTACCCCATAGTCCATAGTGTTTGGTAGAGCCCCCAGTTTAAGACAGGTTTAAAAGCAGGAGTGGCATCCACTTCCTAAACAACATGCCTCGAAACTCTATGAACTTTGATAAATGACGATAGTTATAGAAGGGCTTCAGGCCCTTTGTTCATAGGGTTGCTATGAGTTGTGCTGGACTCAATGGCAATCAACAATAATATGTAGAGCTTGTCCTATATTTTTTATTTCCCTCCCAACAGCCAAATGAGAATAAGGCTGAGACCCTGACCTGGCCTTGAAATTTCATGGTGAACTCCAAAATGAAATTAGAGGGTAATTTGAGATAAATGTAAATTTCATATTTTGAATATTCCTTGTAGTAGTCTTGGGTACAATCATTATGCTTCAAATTGGCAGCTACATTTTTCATGTTGCCATTGGTCAGAGGGCCTCCAGAGCATTGCTGTAGTCCAAATGGCTTTATTTCAAATGTAAGGATTGCAATTAGAGGGGTTAAATACCCAGTATAGTACTTACCAAACTCTTGTGGCCTACTGGTGAGAAGCTGCACCAAAACCCAAAGGCACGTGGTTCAAATCCACAAGCTGCTCCTCAGGAGAAGGCGGTCTCCTTCCTCATGATTCACTGCCTCTGAAAACCTGCTGGAGTGTCAGCTGTGGGTCCATTCTGATTCGATGGCACACAACAACAACATAATGCCTAAAAATGTTTCAGTTTCTTCATCAATAAAATAGAGATACTAATAGTACTTGTGTCATTGTTGTTATGTGCCGTCAAGTCTGCAACACATAGTGACCCTATGTACAACAGCTCTGAAGCCTGCCCTGTCCTGAGCCAGTCTCACTGACTCCAACACACCTATCCCCATTACCCCAGTTACTGTATCAATCAATCTTATCTTAGGTCTTTCTCTCCTGTGCTATCTCTCCATCCTTCTGAGCATGATATCCTCCTCCTGGCCATGTGCCCAAAGTATGTGAGATGGAGCTTCAAAATCCTAGCCTCCAAGGAGGAACTTGGTTTCACCCTCTTTAAGACACCTACATCATAGTGTTAGCTACCATTATGAATAAACCCCTGGGCTCTGGTAACCTCATGCACAGTATGATTATTATGAACCTCAGGGCTTTTGTGGGCTGGTGTTTGGGAGTAGATTGCCAGGCCTTTCTTCCGACTCCTTCATAGGCTAAGAGCTCCCCTGAAACCTGCTCAGTATCACAGCACCACACAAGCCTCTGCTGACAGAGAGGTGGTGGCTGTGCCATGAGGTCTACTGGCTGGAATCAAAGCCAGGTTTCCTGGTGGGAAGGGGAAGATTCTACCCCTGGGCCACCTGCCCTCATATAGTGTTGTTAGAAAAACAGAACTGGCTTCTAAATGGAGGACAGTACCTAGTCCATTCAAACAAACTCACAAGACCAACACCACACAAATTCTTTCCCGTTGAGTTAGAGCCAAGTTATAGCTGACCCTCCAGTGGATTTGAGGCTGTAAATCAAATGGGAAGAGATTCACCCCTCTTTCTCCTTAAAGTAGCTGGTGGATTCAAACCACAACCATTGCGTTAGCAGCACAGTTCTCTATGGATTATGCCACCAGAGCTCCCCGCCCGACAGGAAACGTTAGAAGTGTTATTACTTCTAGGCCCCATGTGTTGTTTTCCATGGCTGATGTGTGAGGCCTGAAGGACTCAGTGTTAATGAGGGCATGTGGGTCCTTTGGCGTGTGACCTGAGTGGGTGTCTAATATTCTGCCTGTCACTGTCTCTTGTCTTGCAGCCAGGAGGAGGAGGAGGCCTCCTCAAGGTACTACGTCCCCAGCTATGAGGAAGTGATGAACACAAACTACTCAGAAGTGAGGGAATTGGGCCAGAACCCCAGGATGAGTATCTCCCTCCCTTCCTATGAGTCCTTGACGTGGCTGGACGAGAACATGCCCACCAGCACCAGGGCCGACGTGGAGGCCGGCCAGGGGAACCCTCCCGACAGACAGAACTCCAAGCTGGCCAAATGCCTGAAGCCTCTGAAAGTTCGGAGGATTAAGTTTGAAAAGCTTCACCTCAAAGACTTTAGGATCAACCTCCCGGATAAGAACGTGCCTCCTCCGTCCATTGAGCCCCTGACGCCCCCTCCCCAGTACGACGAGGTCCAGGAGAAGGCCCCGGATACCCGGCCGCCTGACTGAGTGGCCGCCTCAGCCTCGTGCCCTTCGGTCCTCACACACTCAGCATCACAGACTCCACACAAAGCCACTTCAGCCACATCAAAAGCAGAGGGACCGATGCAGATTGAACTCTTGAATGGGACAAAGGATGAGTGTAGTGGTTCTGTGTGTGTGTGTGAGCGACTCTGTGTTTTCACAGAATTTATGCAGCAGGCCAACTGGGAAGTGAGGTTCCCCTAAACCTTGTGTTTTGTCTCACCCAAGGGCCTGGCGTCCACATATCCTCCTTCAACCTCCCTCAACTCAGAACCATTGACCAGAACGCTCCCCTTGCTCAGTAAGAAAGGACACCCAGCACCTGGTCCAGCTTGTGGTGGTTTTCATGTTGCTTCCACTAGGACTGTGGCTTCCAAAAGAAAACAACTTCAGCCTTTGCTTTCCTTACTGGAACCTTCAGCCGTGGGTAGGAAATGGGGCTCAGCTTTATAGAAAAGGCCTGGAGCATTTTCATGAATTAAGTGAAGCAAGAGGTGTGGTGACTGAGAGGGATGAGGCCCCGGGGAAGCTCTCAGAACCCATAATGCTCTTGGCTTTCTGAGGGCCCAACGCCTGGTGAACTTGGGGCGCACAGTGAATAAGATAATCACCCTGATTGGTACACTTGCTGAGTCTCCCTGTGTCATGGCAAAGAAGGGGCATTGTATGAGCAGTCTTATTCCTCCTGGAGTGCCCTGCAACTGAGCTTTTTATAATAAAATATTTTCTATGTAGTGCACTTGTCTGTGAAATTGCTTTAACAACTCAACACTGCTTTGATAGTTGTTGTTGTTGTTATGTACCATCGAATTGCCTGTGACTCATAGTGACTCTGTGTACAACAGCTCTGAACCCTGCTCTATCTTGAGCCAATTTCATTGTCTCCGACACACCTACTACCATTACCCCAGTCACTGAGTCAATCCATCTCATCCAGGGTCTTCCTCTCTTGTGTTGTCCCCTCACTCTTCTAAGCATGATGTCATTCTCCAAGGACTGGTCCCTCCTGGAAACATGCCCAAAGTATGTGAGACAGAGCTACAATTCCTTGTCTCCAAGGAGCAGCTTGGTTTCACCCTCTCCAGGATGAACTTGTTTGTTCTCTTAGCAGTCCATGGTATGTTCAAGACTCTTCTCTAGCACCACAGCTCAAAGGCATCAATTCTTCTTCTGTCATCCTTAGTCGTTGTCCAGATCTCTGAGGTTTAGCAAGTAATTGTGAAGACCATGGCTTGAATCAGGTGCACTTTTAGTCGCTAGACTGACATCATTACTCTTCAGTACTCTGGAGAGGTCCCTGACAGCAGATTTTCCCAGTGCAATTCATCTTTTGATTTCCTGGATGCTGGTACCAAGAATGTTGACTGTGGACCCAAGTGAGAGAACTAATAATAATAAAAACCAAACCCATTGCCTTCCATCTCATGGTGACCTTTTGTGTTTCTGAGTAGAACTGCACCCCATAGAGGTTTCAAATAGCTGTAAATTTACATTATTTGAGTGTTTTGTGTCACTGGATGGATTGAAAATTCCTACCTTTTGGTTACTAACCAAGCAGAGACCATTTGTTCCCAGTTCCCACTGTCATTAAGTCACCTTCAACTCATAGCGACCCTGTAGGACAGAGTTGTTGTTGTTGTTGTTGTGTGCCATCAAGTTGGAACAGATCTATAGCTGACCCTTCGGCAGATTTTCAGAGACAATTAAACGCACAGGAGAAGATTGCCCATCCTACTCCCGTGAGGCAGCTAGTAGATTTGAACTGTGTGCCTTTGGGATTATAGCACAGTTTGTGGAACAGCCCATCAGGTTTCTAAGGCAGCCATGTCTTTACTGAAGCAAACTACCTTTACAGAAGTAGAATGGGTGGTGGGTTCAAACCAGCAAACTTTGATTAGGAGCTGATAACTTAACCACTGCACCACCAGGGCTCCTTGCATCACCCAGGGATCTTAATTCCTATGTACTTAAGATTTAACATGTGTCCAACATGGTGCTAAATGTACCACTTTTATATTATTATTTGAAGTCGGCTACAACTGGACTTTATTGCCCTTTTGTGGGTTAGCTCACTAAGGCTTAGTTTCATTAAAGTAGTACCCATCATGCATTGTGAGTAAGCATGACGGTAAGGATTTGAACCTGTATGTGTTGACTTGTGTATGGCATGTGTGTGAAGAGCTGTGCTAGACTTGACTGACACTCCATGAGACCCAGATCCGCCCACCCCATTGGTCTGTGTAACAAACAAAGTATGGGCTATCCAGACAGCAACTCTCCACCTAGGTTTCAAGCACACTCTCTTCCTACATCCCTCATGAGATACCAGATTGGCCCCAGGAGAACTCAGGACAGCCAAACAGCTGACCCCCAGGAGAATGGGCTGTATGAGCCTGCTGGGTGAGTAAATGTGTCTCCACTGAGAAGGGTCAGAGAGCACGTTTGGGGCCAGGAAAATAGTTAAACTGAAAAATGTCCAAAGGGGTCACATGGACCAGAGCTGTCTGGCAGCAGGGTCTTGGCCCCAGAGCATGGGTTCAAAGGGTGCCTTCCTGATATTGGTGAATATGCAATGGCCTGCAGAAGAATCTGTACAGGTAAGAGCTTTGCTGGAAGACTAAATTCTTGCCCCTGAGTGGTGCACACGGTTTGCAATAAACTATTGCTAACCTAAAGTGGAACGTGTGGATCATAAACTATAACACTGAAAAGAACAAGAATTCAAGAACACTTAACTTACATTAATATGAAATCTATACCTAGACCAAGAAGCAGTTGTCCGAACAGAGCAAAGGAACACTCCATGGTTTAAAATTAAGAAAGGAGTGTGTCAAGATTATATCCTTTCTCTATATCTATTCAATCTGTGTGTTGACCAAATCATTAGGAAAGCTGGAGTTTATGAAGAATGTGGCGTCAGTATTGAAGGAAAATTCATCCACAACCTGCATGATGCACATGACACAATCTTGTTTACTGAATGCGAGGAGGACTTGAGGCTGCAGAAGGTGAAGAGCTACAGCCTTCAATATGGATTGCATCTCAACGTTGAGAAAACAAAACTCCTCATCCTGGGCCAAAAGGCAAAGACATAGTAAGTAGAGAAAAGATTGATCGTCAGCAATTTCATCTTCCTTGGATCCACAGTCAACACCCTTGGTACCAGCAGTCACAAGATCAGGAGATGTACGCATTGGGAAAGTCGACTTTCAGGGGCCTCTCCAAAGTCCTGGAAAGCAATGATATCAGTTTACAGACTTAAGGTGTGCCTGATTCAGGCCATGATATTGCTAGTCACCTACTATGTATCTGAGAGCTGGACAGTGAATAAGGATGACAGAAGAAGGATTGATACCTTTGATTTGTGCTGTTGGAGAAGAGTACTGAATATCCTATGGACTGTCTTACATACATACACGTCTTGGAGAAGGTACAGCCAAGGTGCTCCTTAGGGGCAAGGGTGGTAAAGTTTCACTGACATAGTGACTGCATGGTGGAGACTGTGAAGATGCTGCAGGATAGAGGAAAATTTTGACTTATTGACCATAGGGTCTCTGTGAGTCATGGCTAACAACCTAACAGTGCCTAATGGAACTGAACAACAACAACGAAGTATGCTTGAATCCTACCCCCTGGTACATGTGAGAGTGAGTTTTACGGAACATAGCATCTTTGCAGAATATCATTAGCTAAGATGAGCTATTTTACAGAAGGATAACCAACATGACTAATCTAATATGCCTAGAATTCACATAAAAAGAGAGCAGATACACACAGGGAGAGGATGACTATGTGAAGTCAGAGGCAGAGGTTCAAATGATGCTGACATAGCTGAAGAATGCTTAGGTTCACCAGAATTGAGGAAGGATAAGGAAAGATCATTCCCAAGAGTCCGTAGAGGACCTTTGGTGGCCTAGTGGGAAGAAGCTGCATTGAAATCCCTAGAGTCTGCAGAGAGGAGCCTGGCTCTGCTGACATCTAAATCAAATTTGGAGCTTCAGTGTTGTTGTTGTTAAGTGCCGTTGAGTATAGCAACCCTATGAATGAAAGTCCTCAACATTTGTGTGACTTTCATCCTTTCTCCAGGTTCATAGAGTTTCCGGAGGCAAACTATATTGGAAGTGGATGCCACTCCTGCTTCCAAGCTTGTTTTAATTGGGGAGCTCCACCAAACACTGTCCACCATATTGGAGCCCCAATAGCTGTGACTAAACCTGTGCTGTATAAGGCATCCAGTTTGTGGTAACTTGTTACAGTGGCCACGGGAAACAAACACATTCCCGGAGTGGAGAAGGGCTTTTTCTTGCTTCAATTTTCCATCTGCAGGTTGTGGGAGAGTCACTGTTGTTGTGTATCATTGAGTCAGAATCAACCCACTAGCTGACCCTCCAGTGGATTCTCAGAGGCAGTAAAGAGATTGCCCATCTTTCTCCTATGGAGCAGCAGGTGGATTTGAACCGTGTGCCTTTGGATTGGCAGCGCAGCCACTAGCTCACCAGAAGGAAAGTTATCACTGCCACTTTTCCCTTGTTTTCTCCCTGTAAGGTACAAGGTAAGCACATTTCTCATATATCTACCATAATACTATTAATTCCCATTTTACTGATGAAAAAACTGAGGCCCAGGGAAATAAAAATCCTTGCCCAAACTTACACTTCTCACAAGTGGCAGTGCTAAGATCACAAGCAAGTGTTCCCTGTATAGTACAAAGAGAGAACCCAACATACACTATGAATTTTAGTTACTAGTGTATCTATAATATATCAGTATTGGCTCATCAGTTAATAAAGGTACCACAGTGATGCAAGATGTCAATAACTGCAGAAACTGTGGGATAGAGGACACATACAGGAGGTGTATACTTTCTGTGCAGTTTTACTATCAATGAAAACATGCCAAACATGAATGAACTTTGAAAGTAGCATGAAATAAGTGAAATAAGTCAGTCACAAAAGGACTAATATGGCATGGTTTTACTTATATAT